TTGCGACATCGGGGGTGGAGCCCCGTTAGAGGTCCCGGCGGCGGCGGGCGGACTCGCGGGCAGCACGAGCCGGCGGCGGGGCTTTATGAGGCGGAGGTGTGACGCATGGAGCGGACGTGGACGGGGACAAGAGGTGCTCAAAGCGATGCACATGTCAGCTGGATTCGGCAGTTGTGTCCAGCAGCTGTGGGGTCATGAACAAGTTCGCTTTGTCCTCTTTTTTTCTACGGTGCGATCGAACTGTCTTGGATGGTCAAAGATAGTGGTCAGGTAATGGTCAGGTAATGGGCAAAGGTAATGGTTAGGTAATAGTCAAAGGTAATGGTTCGATGGTCAAAGGTAATGCCAAATGCTCCTGACGTGTCTCCTTTACCGCCCGTGATGAGTAAAAGAAAAGTCAGGTGTGCCCCCCCCCCCCATCTTATGCATGCATTGCCTACCCTCCCTCTTCGCCCGGCTTCCTCTCGGCGGCGGTTGAACTAACCGTTTGTTCAACTCTCAGTCACTTACCCATCGGAAATATTGTACCCTCTGCCCGTGTGCACACCGGTTAGGGGCATTTGGATGCAGGCTTAGAATGGGCTGGTGCTCAATGAATTAAACCCTAAATCCACCAAAAACAATTGCATCCACTTACTATAAATCGGCATGCTCTTGCAATATGCGGAAGAATCATTCAGAAAAGGCACCTCTTTGTGGGTTTTTAATGCACTGTCTGACCGAATTTGTGAGCCCACCTGAGTTATTTTTAAAAGTATGTTATAAACTTAGATCGTGATGAATCTCTGTTTGTCACAACGCATGCATTTAATAGTTTCGAATCGTCTATATCGTAATACTATCCTTATTATCATCTAGACCATAATAACTTATGCAGTCGTCTTAATTTGTTTAATTTGCCTCCAACTCAATTTTCACCATTAGAAACATAGCCTGGCTTCGCGCCGGCAACTTATGCAATAACCCGACTAACCAAACTTGGCCAGAGGTCTTGGCTAGCACCAAGATTCCGCCAACATCTCGGTCAGACATCAACATTTTAAGCCCAGTTATTTGGCACCGCCACGCTTACCCACACTGGCGCACGCCAATGTTGGCGGCGCCAATTTGAGTGAGTAGGGTAGGTAATTCATATTTTGTTAACGTGAATTGAGAGCTTATTTAGCTTAGGACGTGAAAGGATAAGCGTGCATAGGCCAGAGCGACGACGCATCCGCCTGTATGGTACGGTCCCGTTATAGTGCTAAAGGGGAAGTTCCACGTTTGAAGATGTTGAAACGAGCATTAGATATGATGGAATAAGCCCACGTATAACTATTGGTATACTTCAAGTGGAAAAAAATTTTCTAGACAGCACGATTTCTCTGTTAAGTGAAAATCCTGCTCAATACGTCATTGTTTGATCATGTCATCGTACCTTGCAACAACATTGGTTGAGAACCAGTTAACGGCCGTTATGTCCGGAAGTCGTGCTTACGAACACCAGATATGAATGACTTGACAATTATATTTGTCTCGGGTTTGATTACCGCATGTATAATCGAATGACAGGATTTAAATGACGTTATTAAGGCGTTATAGATGTCCGGATGACCTTGAAATAGTCTCCCCGAATAGTCTGCACATCTTTGCGGGCGTGTAGTTCAGAATTACCTTATCTTTAACCTAATCCTTACCTTATTATCCTTACCTTATTACCTAATCCTTAACAATACCAGTTTGGTTCGGTCATCCGCTAATGTACCCGGCCCACGAAGACTTGATAATCTAAAGCATAAACCTAAAGAAAAGAGGAAACTGACCCTCAAATCGCGTTACGAACGCTGGGGCCGAATCCAGGATTTTGACCGAAGTGGAGGCTGGTTATCTTCCCGGGGTCCAGCAAAGTGAAATATTTGTCTAAATTAGTTGCATTTTCGGAAGTCATTGACAAGACCATGGGCGATAAAAAATGCTTCACTATTTTTATCCATGTGCAGTACGTTGGATATGTCGTGCCCACAATGTATTTTTCGAAAGGTGAGCAATTTCGTAAGGCCCCGAGATGTTTTCGACCCGGCTGGACCCTCTAAGGTGTCGCGAAAGGACCACGACGTGTTTTCGTGGCGTGCAAAAATGTGTGCTATTTTTCAAATCGGCTGGGGTGCCAATTCGTAAGGTTGACCGTAAACTAACCTCAAAGCCTGATCACTCGCAGATTTCGGCTTCGATGTATAGGATAACAAACAATGAAGAAACACATGAATGTGGGCAGCCACCTTTTACTTAAACGTTGCCATACATTTCAGTGCATTTCTTGCCACCATCCGGATGTTAATGCACGAAAACCTACCAATACTATGCAGGTGGGTATGTACAGGATATTATACGGTATAAAATCAACATGTAACAAATAGTCATATCTTCCCGTAGGTGCCAAATGTACCAGCATTTCAGAGCAATCGTCCGCATTTCATTGGCTCAGTATTCCCCCTCCCCCCCCTAAAGCACATAAAGCGGCACACTTACGCAGACCCGGTGGCTGAGCCGCTCGGCACCACGTGACGCTGGGACGTTCCGCCGTTTGACCCACCGAGACCCAATGTCCCACGGCTGCGGCGGGCGGGCTCCACCGAGCGGAGCCACGGCAAACAGTCGTAATCGACAAGACAAACGGTGCGGCCCGATAGCCGCTGTTGCATGACGATACCGCACACCTGAAGAAGCAGATAGGGCTGGCCTGTTTGCAGGGCGTGTGGGCACAGGCGGCGGAAATCATGCATGTAAGCCCGGCTGGCATCAATGCTTGCCGACAGTTAAGCAGACCACAGCCGGATAATGGGGCTTGTTCTGAACACGACAGCTAAGCGGGACAAAGCCGGATAATGGGGCTTGTTCCGACCACGACAGCTAAGCAGACCACAGCCGGATAGTGGCACTTGCTCTGACCACGATAGCTAAGCAGACCACAGCCGGATAATGACACTTGTCCCGACCACGACAGCTAAACAGGCCACAGCCGGATAATGACACTTGTTCTGAACACGACAGCTAAACAGGCCACAGCCGGACAACGGCGCTTGTTCCGACCACGATAGCTAAGCAGGATACAGCCGGATAATGATGCTTGCTCTGAACACGACAGCTAAGCAGGCCACAGCCGGATAACGGCGCTTGTTCCGACCACGATAGCTAAGCAGGATACAGCCGGATAATGATGCAAGTTCGGGCCAGACTCACAGGGAGCCAGACACAGATTAGGCATTTCCGCTCCAATCGTTTTCTTGTTAGAACTGGGAAGATAATGGAAGATATATGTCCATATAGGAAGATAATGTAAAAATGACCTGGGAAATGAACGTTATTAATAGATGTTGATATTCCTGCAAATCTTGCATTTGATATATATGTCATGAGAGTCCGATTTAAATAAGCCTGTCCGCCTGTTTGCCCTGTATGTCCTGTCCTCTTGTGATCCTGGACGGAATGGAAGTGGTCCTGAACGGAACACGCGCGGCATGAGGAGAACATCACTACAATGTGCAGCATATTGCCTGCGGCGGTCGGAATGTCATAAAGATATACATTGACATGCAAACTGGATAGATGTGTGACCAATGTTCCTGAGGGCATAGTCAGTTTTGTTTGTCACTTCAAACATATTGATCCAAAGTGACGTCATTTGCCTTTTCAACGTCACGTCCAGGGATTTCCTGTAATGCTTATGCAAAGTTCCCAAGCGGGCTGTGTGTGACTTTCAGACAGAACTGAAGGAACAGGATAACAGCAATGCCTAAGTCCGCCGTCTCACCGCTGGAGAGGCACGAGCTTCTCTGTAGTACCGCTTTCGGATCGTCGATATTGCAACTCTAGATCTCTCGTGGACTGGGCAGACAGTTCAGCCGACTAAGCTCTGTCGTACCAACACACTGCGGAGAAAGAAACTCGCACTTTCAGTGCCCTTTCAGTGTCCTCTCGATGCATTATCTACCATCGGCTGTCGTTTAACCACAGCTCTTTCAGTTTAAAGCAACTTGCCCATCGAAAATTGCTGCAAAAGGATTTTGCTCGCTACTTTTTTCCAAAATGTGACTTTAACCAGGCGTTTTGAGCCTGAACAGATGTAAAACAGGACAGACAATCATCTTTGTAATCAGCTAGTAACCACCATGCGGTACACTTACGAGTATCAGTGCTGTTCAGGATGCCACTTATGCGGCTGTCATTACCTGAAAGTACCATTATCTCAGCATACGGCCGATACTAATGCCAGATATTGCAGAAGTACTGCAGCGTTAAGAGCGACCTCATGGTCAAAATATGTCGCAAATGGATCAGGCGAAGGTGTCGTAACTTTCCACTTCTTTAGTTCGATGTTCCAGCATTTACATTCTCTAAAAACTCTTTTTGTCTCTTTTGAAACTAGATTAGATGTCGATTTATCGAGGTTGAAAATATACATTTAGTGATTTACTTGCGCTCAGTTGAGTTTTGACTGGGTAGTCCGTTTCGAGCTTTCTCTGCACTGTTCTGTCGGCGAGCACGGTGGCGACTGTTGACCGACGCTGCGTGTCGGCGAGCACGGTGGCGACTGTTGACCGACGCTGCGAGCACGGTGGCGACTGTTGATCGACGCTGCGTGACCCCGAGACGAGCGGTGCGCAATGCTGCGAGCTCTCGGGGTGATCCCTAACTAATTACGTAGACTTTTGGATGACATCTGACCTCTCTCACAGTATCCTGATATGACTTCTGATGTTCCCCACAGACACCTGAGTTACCTCCGACCTCTCCACAGGCCTCTGCGTGAATCCTGATCTGCTCCACGAACTCCGAGGAGCCCATGACGGGACCTCTCCCGGGGACCTCTTATGACTCCTGACCTCTCAGGCAGACTCCTGAGGTGACCTCTGACTTGTCTAGCAAACTCCTGGGTGACCCCTGACTTCTCTGGCAGACTCCTGAGGTGACCTCTGACTTATCTATCAAACTCCCGAGGTGACCCCTGACCTCTCTGGCAGGCTCCTGAGTGACGCCGACAAGCGGCCGTTCATCGAGGAGGCCGAGAAGCTCCGGCGTCAGCACAAGAAGGACCACCCCGACTACAAGTACCAGCCACGCCGTAGGAAGGCGCTGAAGGGTCCCACCGGCGCCGCCAGCCAGCAGGGCAACACAGTCGTCTTCAACAGCAGGTCAGTCGGCGGCACTGCACCGCTGACGGCTGGACAGTGCATCGGTGCAGGAAGTGGGAGGTTTGGGGTTCGACTCCCGATCGCGCCAGCCTGTTAAGGTGTGCGTCTGATTGTTTGGCGCCCCTCCCCTCTCATGTACAAGAACTTGCTGACAAGTACATAACTTATCTGTGCAAAATCTTGCTGATGGTTGTGTAATGAGTCTTGTTGATCATGTGTAAGTGATTGGGGCCTTGCTGATGTAGTGTGCCATTTGGAGAGACCTATGAGAATACGGCAACTTTTTTTTTGGGGGGGGGGGGGCACTGATAACGACATGTTGCAAATTCCCATGTTTGTGCCCTTGCAATTGATGATAAGCAATGCAAAACTGCACGTGCTGCCTCATCGAAAGTATTGGAAGATGGTGCTGCTATTGGAGCTTTAGCGTATAGTACTTGCGACATATCCAGTTGGAAATGGTGATCGCCGTCATGTGTATCGGTCATGCATGCGTTACATTGCTACGGCTCAGCACCACAACTGTAAGGCATATTTACGTGAAGTAATTCGGCTGTCTCTAATTTTTTTCCTTTTGAAATCGCTCCTCTCACTGATAAGCAAAGGTTTCAAACATGTAAGTAAGACTCTAAGCCTCCAAACGGCAGGGTACGAATGTTTGTGCACATTTTCGCTGCTCCGTCGTGTTGTGGTGAGCTGTGTTGTGTTCCAGTCGCCAGCTCGGCGATGGTGCGGAAGCCGCTCGGCTGCTGTCATCGCAGGGTCAGGGGCAAGGTCACGGTCCCCCCACCCCGCCAACTACGCCACAGGGGGAGCTGATGAGGGACAACAAGCAGGCCATGGGTAGGTCAATGCTCAGCCTCCTCACGGGCTGTCACGAGCAGCAGCCGGTGCCTGCTTGCCATATAGGTCTCGTTATTTGCATCGTGGAATCTATTATTATTGCGATCCATCGCTGAATTATGTTCCCAAGACATGCCGGCTTCACTACGGTGGGTCGTAGCTGTTAGCTCCGACAAAGAAAATGAGTGTTTCGCTCACGAATGAAGTACTTGCTTGTGGGATGGCTTTCATCTGATTTTGCACTGAAGAAGCGGAAATAAATAGGAGCAGAGCTATATACTTCAGTTTAGAAGACGCCCTATGTTCAGAGTGCGCATAAAGTGATGAAAGGTACCGAATGCACTTGGCTTTTAGGCTTCACCGGCTTGAAAGCAAATGAAAAAGCTTCAGTGCTTTTACTCAAAGTGATAGAGGCGGATACATGGTCCAGGTCTTAATCACTTAATGTGGGCAGTGAGCATCTGGCTAGTTTTGAGCTGTATCGGTTCGCTTTCGGCTGGCTTGTTCCCTCCATAGCCTGCCTGCCGCTTACGTCAAACGCCGCACCAAGCGCCAGATCAATGGCAGCCAAGCGTCCGGCAGATGGCGTGGATGCGGCAGCCACCTTCAGAACCGTCCATCAATAACGGCAGCTCACTTGCGGGACCTCCATAAATAATGCATGCACGTTTGGCTATTTTGAGCCCCATTCCCCTGTTTATGCACTGGTTATTTTGAAGACAATCCCATTCCCACGGCGTTAAGAGTAATGTCCGGAAAAAAAGTTTAGAGGTGTTCCTTTGACCCCTGATTGAACTTGGATGCGACACAAACACGGGCGTGCTTGCTATGACTGAAAGCCAAATGGTACCTTCTAGCAGCACGATTTTAAAATAAAAAAGTTTTTTTAAAGATTTCATGATTTGCAACCATATGCGAAGGCAGCGCTACTCTATCTCCCCCCCCCCCCCCCCCCCCCCATCTGCCACTACTTCCACTCAGGTTATGCCCCCTCGGAGCCCCCTGCCCCTTCCACGCGTGTCGCCAGCGCGTTTGACGCTGGTGGTGGTCTGTGTCGCCAGGTTTCTTGCAGGGCAGCGGCGGGCTGGGCTGTTACCCGCAGCGGGCTGCCGGTCTGACCCGAGGTCAGTGCACGGCCGCCTCGGCGCCGGCCGCCTGCGCCGCCCTCGGCCGTTCCGTCATGGGTCAGCCCTCGCCGGAGGACACGGCCAAGGTCTCTTGGGCCAGGGACGAGGCATTCCGCGCGCACGCGGCCGCCGCCGGCGGTAAGTGGAGGCTCGCGGGCGCCGTTTGAACATAGGCTGAGACAATGGCAGCTTACTTAAAATAGCTCGCCGCTACACATTATGTGATTAATTCTTCTTGCAACTCATACAGAACGCCATTGACACAGTGTTCATGTAGCATGGGACGTAAACGTTCCGAAATGTTTGCATTACGAGGCAACATGCGCAGAGTTGCAGCCGGCTGTTCTGTACGCTGATAATTTTATAACTACGGGCATTGTCATGCAAGAAACATGCAGTTGTCGTGCTTTAAGTGTTGCTACCCCATTCATGACTCTGAACCACATAAATGTAGGAAAATAATATTGACTGTGCCTGCATAAAAAGACAGCCTATTCCAATGTGAGGCACAGCTTACACCGCCCACTGCTCGTTGCGCTGGGCGCTGTAAGATCTGAAGCCAGTATGTGACAGCCGCGATACCTCGGCAGCCGGCAGCAGCGGCGGCAGCAGCAGCAGCGGCAGCAGCAGCGTCGCGGGCCAGCTGGCGCAGCTGCCGCAGCCGATGGCCTGTGACGGCTTCTATAACCAGGCGGCGTTCAAGCCGGAGGAGGAGCGCCTCTACAGAAGTCACGAGGAGCGAGTGTACCGTGGCCAGCCGTTCGGTGGCCAGCTGATTGCGCCGTCAGCTGGCTACTCGGCCGAGAACATGGCGTACTACCAGAATTTATATCAGTACCCCAGCCAGAGGCCGTACGACGCCAACGACCCGTGGACATTTATGTAGTGACGGCATGCGAGTTTCTACGCAACCGAGAACACATTTTCGGTGTTCTGTCGGTGAACTGTGAAGTGGCACAACAAAGAACAGTTGTATTTTGTGCTTCGCTGGTGCTTGCTATGGCGCCTTTGCGCAAGCAACAAGCAGACAATGACAGCGCGGTGCGTTTTCGGAGTGATCATGTGTTTTATGGACTCGCTGGCGGGTGCGCGTGTTGAAGGCCGTAAAACACGTCACAAGGAGAGGTTGCGCGCAGTGGAGAAGTTTGGTGTGGACGGCCCAGATGGAAGTGATACGTTGGTGCCTTGAAGACGTGTGCTAACGCTGAGCGCCACGGCTTTGATGCCTCCATTTGTGCGCGAGCAAATGGTTTTTAAGGATTAAATTCGACTCCACATAAAGTTGCGACGGACTCCTGTTGGTGTTTGTTAACTAGAACCGATTCGAGCTGGCCAGAGTATTTAGGCATATTTTCGCCGCATTTGACCGTTAAGTTTGCCATCCAAACATCGTGTATAATATTTATAAAAATATGCTTCCCTCCTTGGAGTTTCAGTCTGCACGCAGTCAAGGCTGACAAAATGAAGCGATAAAATAACCCCGTGGGATCGTTTTTTATCAGTGTATTCTTAGTTCAGCCGTTTTATCATTCCGACGATTCGTTTGCGGGCAACGTTTCTCGGATAAATTGCTTTTAGCAAGCGTAATATTTGATGTTTTGCCTCCTCGTTTCAAGTTTCGACTGCCTTAGCGCACCACGGCGCATCCAATGGCTGGCCTTCGACGTCAAGCTGGTTTGCTGTACACGTGTGCTCTGCTATCGCCTGGACATCAACGACTCTGCGTAATGCGTTACATTATAATTTCACTCGCGTGTTGCCATCGCATTTAGCTTGTAAGCAGGTACTTCTTCTGTTGCCCCTGAAAGCGTTTCGTGTGTGTGCTGCATTCCCATCTGGAACAATTGCGACTCCAGGTAGCAAGGAACAGGAACTCAGACCGGCGCCCTACGTTTATGATTGCTGGCCGCATGCTCCGTTGGTGTCAGCCACGCTCTAAGTCTCGCTCCGCCGCTCAGCTGATCCACGCCACGTGCCTGTATACAGTGTCGTCAAGCTGTGATGCTCAGTTCGTGTGGATGACGGCTGTTCGCACCTCCGCTTCTGTAGACGCTGACTGGGTCCGTCCGGTGGTGTTTCTGTCACCTGTCAGGTGTCTTCTCTCCCGCACAAATACACGTAAGCCCCGGCTAGGGCTGTGCAGCCGCCACTTACTGCAGGGCACAGCTTCGCCATGGGAGGTACCCGCAGGCGTAGGCGTAGAAACGGAGAGAAAGGCAAGTCCGGGTGGTGGTGGGGCGTATCCCCCAAGTTCTCGTAGATGTCAAGCATTAGGCTGTGGTGATACTTAAAATAGAATCGACTCAAGCATTTCCACCACATCACTTTCTGAGATGTTCCTTCAGTTATACGCATGTAAAACTGAGTTGAGCAGGTAAACGCCACGACATCACATCGTGCTCCCAGAGTATCCTTAGTTTTGCTAGAAGATTTCTCATTACGGCACAGAACTTCTGCAATGTTAAGGTCTTCATGCGGCCCAAATTGAAAATGAAAACGACCAGGCGCTACCTCCGCTACGGGGCGTTTTAGTCCATATCGCCACTGTGGAGTACGGAGCACGAAAGGTGCAATATTTCAGCCATTCGTGATCATTTGGTTATGAGAACCTGCATGCTAAAATCATAACGTATTGCTCGTTCTAGGAAAATAGCTCAGATTTTTTTGTTGTTGATCCCTTTAATATAACTAAACGTCGTACGCAAAGCTGTCCCAGACCTAAGTTCGCATAGTTTTTTAATGCAGAGATGAAGACAACCGGTGCAAACTAATCTTGTTCTCCTGCCCCGGCCAGCCTGACCCTGTGTAACCAGTGGAGTGTGTATAAGCTTTTTATCGCTCAATTTCTTTAAAAAATAGCGTGCCGGCTAATCGACTATAGACGGTCCCGAGCTGGGGACACGGGATATTTCGTTTAAAATCCACTATATTAGGTTTATTGCTGTACGAATAAAAACTTGCTACTCACTCGAAGCAAGAGTGAACGCTACCTGCGTGATAAGCTTAGGCGTATCGAACTTATATCAGCGAGAGCTACGTCGTTTTTGTACCGCAGGCGGCATTCTTTGGTGAGTGAATGTCATGTCTAGCAAATACACATACCAGCCATTCATCCAGTGAGCTGTCAGTATGGGTTACAGTTACGGTCAGTTGAGCACCAGAGGACGCCCCAGAGATAACTTAATCCTTGATGTTCCAGCACTGGGTCATCCAGGCAGCCGGCTCCATTTTTCGCAGTAAGATTATCATCAATCTTGGAGCGCTTTCCGCTGATTTCTTTCTGCGAGCAACATCGTGGTCCCTTGACATTCACCGTCCATATGCCGCCACACAGACACACGCACCGTCGCCATCCATGCGCTGGCACCGTCACCGTCCATTCGCCGGCACACAGACACACGCATAGTCACCATCCATACGGCGGCACACAGATATATACGCACCGTCACCGTCCATACGCCGGCACACAGGCACACACACCGTCACCATCCATACGCCGGCACACAGACACACGCACCGTCGCCGTCCATACGCCGGCACACACAGACACACGGAAGAAGCTTTCACTTCCGGCTCCCCGTTTAGCCAGGTTCAACTGCTCTTACTCACAGCAGTGGCCGCGGCCGTGAGCTGCAGTTGCTGCTGTGCGTGCAATTTCTGTCATTCGTGCACACGGCAGGCCCCATCGAGCAGTAGGCTTCCTCCCGGCGCCGTCGGTCACTCCCGCTCGACTCGGCTGGCCCGTTCGTCGGGCGAATCTTGCCGTCCTTTGCCCTCTAACCACCACCGAAGCGAGGCCTCGCCGCCCAGCCCGCCTGGAGGCGGCAGCAAAGCCGGCGACACACGCAAGCCGACCTTCACGGCCCCCGTCCGCGCCCCTCACTCTCGTCACCGGGACGACGGCGCTCGGGGCGTAAACGATGACCTAATGAGGCCGATAGGGTGTCGACGGCGGCGCGTCGGTAGCCGGCGCCGGGCCGTACCTGTCACCGGTCTGGCTGCACTGTATCGGGTCGACATCGCTAACAAGACGACGATGGACCGCCTAAACAGCCGCGCGCTACGAAAACACGGGGCCGGCGGCGGCGACGGCGGCGCGGCGGCGGCGCGAGGCTGCGCGTCAGGTGTACGTCCAGCCGGTCACGCGGGATTGCTGTGGGGTGGGTGTCCGCCTGCCCTCGTGCGGTCCGGCAAACAGCTGAGTAGGTTCGTCTCAGAGAGCAGAAGATAGGGAAACTTGTCAGGCGTTTCTCGTCTGATCTGACGTTTACGTATGTTGTGGTGAGTATGGCGCTCTTCTGACTCTCCTCTTCCATACTGTCTCCAATGTCCCGGTGTCCTGTATTCACCACGGAGAGGCACGAGGTCCCTGCGTGCAGGGGCGTAGTTTCACAGCATGAGTTGGCGTGTGTGTGGGGGGGGGGGGGGAGGGACCAAGCAGTGAAAAATCCTCCAGAAATGCACCAGCAGGCAAGTTCTCCTTAGAATTTTAGCCCATTTCCTTCTCAAGCTCGACAGCCCAAGCGGGGGGGGGGGGGGACACAGAAGCACCATCTGAATGGGAAAGGTGGGGATAAAGGCAGTTAAGCTTTGACGAACAATGGGTAGTCCAGATCACGTGATCTGTGACGATTCTGGGCGTCAGACGGCCGGCCGGACAAACGTTTTTCGTACAATCTGTTTTTTCCGAAATGGGCCTCACAGGAATCGGGCTTACAGAAAAGCTCCCTGGTTTTATTTTCCTACCAGAAAAAAGAGTTTCAATGAATCTTTTACATCTCACACCTCAGTTGAAGTCTCATCTCTAAATGCTCTTTGATTTCGGCCCTAGTATTTAAAACACTGTCATCATTGCAGTGCCGCTAACGCGCTTTCGTCCTAAAATGGGCCTATGCAAAGGTCAAAACTTTGCATATTTATCGTACCGCGAAGCAAACTCCTGACAAGAGGAAGATATCCAAATGCATTAGGAGATCAGAGCGGTGTTTTATGGAACTATATAAAATCTGGGGTCGTACTGCAATCGTGGGATCCGATGCGCGCCCAACCATGTTCCCACATTCCTTTCTAAAGACACGACACAAAGTGGCACCTGCCTTGCCTGTTTTTTTAGAAGTGGCAGACGACTTTGAGCACTAGGAAACGTGTCTTAATTCGCCGCGGCCAGTACTCCTAGGAAATGTATATATGCATAATCAGGAATTGCATCACAAAGAAGTCAGAGGCATTAGCGACACCTTGATGCACTGGGAGGTCTGGTTACTGTGATGGGGCTGCCTTTTGAGAGGGTATCCACCATCAATGCTGGCGGGACTACCGTGGCTATTGGCGAGGGGAGGTGTCCCCCCATTATCTAAATTGTTTGACAACATCGATGGCTTCACGTAGAAAGAACGGACCTGGAACGCCTTCAATATCCTTAAATTGTACGCCGTCGCCCCTGTCGTCAGCTGGTGGTGACGTCACGGAACCACAGCAGCCTTGCTGGATGGCCGTACTGCATGAGCACTTTTTATCATAGAGAGATAATTATTTCGGTGGCTTTTCCATACCCATATTTTTAACATCCGTCACCGCGCGTTAACAAGCGTACGTACATGGGTTCCACGGGTGCCAGGCTCACAATCGACTCCATGAGCCCCACGCTACAAGGGTGGGCGCCTTGGCCCGCTTTTCCACGATGGCGGTGCCGACACCATGATGGCATACCTGTTCCTGTTCGGGGCGCGCCGCAGCAGCTACTCTGCTGCCGAAATTATGCGAGCGGCAGCCGGCAGCTCAGCGGCCTTTGAAGCTCATTGGCTACCAGTCACGACAATCAGTGGTATCAGTGGCAGAAAACCTGATGCCGGATAGCTCCTAATGATCCAGAGATTTTTTAATATT